GTGTTACCTGAGGCCCAGCTGTTTCTCCGGGGAGAACCAGCTCCGTCCTGCTGTTTCGGCATCCAGCAAAAAGACCCTTTCTTGTGTCTCTAAGGCGTCCGGGTTAGTCAGGGTCGGCGCCTTAGATAAGAACTCAGTCAGAAAGGAAAAGAAGATAAGCGAGTTTTGCCAGCTGTAAGTGAAGGTCACTTGCTCTGCTGTTTAAACAGACATTCTAATATCTTCTCTGCTCCTTTTAGCCTGTAAGAAATCACTGTAAACATTTATCATGATTAATTAAACCTTCTGCTTAAATAATCATCTGAACTTGTGTCCATATAAATGTATGATTTTCTTAAGAAAACTCAAAATTATATTACTGATGTTTCAGTAAAAATAAAACAGTGATTTATAAAAACACAATGAAACATGGTGATGATTTCTGTGCTTCATTCAGTCTATTTCAGGCACGATAAAAGAATAGAAGTGATTCTATATTCTTTGTGACATGTCATTATAATGATTAACAAATGCATAAACATTTTAGTTAAACAACCAATGAATCATGAACAGAACCGATTGYTTCTGTTTAATATCTGATTAAGAGAACTGAAGTCCTCGTGTAGGTTGAAATGACCCGTCATGGCCTAAAATAAGAGTTCAGCAGTTCCTGCCAATTCTCAGGCCTGTGCGAGACCTGCTTTGAGGCTGGAACTCCTGTTTCTTCACTCGAGGTGACCCCTACACCTTCCACTGCCACATCTGCCTTTCTGTCCTTGACACACATGCACAGTAGGCCGTGGACGTCACGAGACATACTGACAGGCTCTGGTATCATGGCTACCTGACAACGGAGCTGAAAAGTGTGGGATCATTTTAAGAAAATGAAAGAGAAACCTGTGTAATATCTGCAGAGCAGAACTTGCCTTCCACAGCAATTATTTTTAGTTAGCATATAGCTAAAATCTAACCATGGTTATACAATAGCAGCTGCATTCTGACGTGATAAGCTATGTTTTATATTCAATTAACGTATGATCTGATTATTCGACTAATCGAATAAATAATCGGTCATTAATCGATTATTAAAATAATTGTTTGCAGCAGCCCTACTACCAACTGAGCCACCGTGCTGCCCAAAAATATATTTCATACAATCTTAATTTGAATTAAATGAATTCAATCAAAATACAAAAATACTGGTGTTTTTCTAAAGTCAGCTGATGAAATGTGCTTAGGAAGGATTTCAAAAGTGCCCAAAACAAAGTTAAAAAATGTACATGTTGGTGTTCTTGAATTGTGAGCAGTTTCCAAATCTTACTTTCCCAGCTGGTACTTTGTCAATTTCTGTTTCCCTTTTTAGAGCTACCTGACCAGCTGCACACTGAAAACACAGTTTAACACAACACCCACAGCTCATAATGAAGCTGGTCAGCTCTGAATGAAGGAGTGCATACCTGACAGTCCAGTTTGCACTCAAACATGATTACTGAACAAACTGTATGAGAGCACAGAACTCTGTGCCTAACTCCTAAAACGTGTTTATTTTAAAACGTTTGGGTAACCCTTTGCTCACGTGGGGACACGTCAGTTCAGTGGGACGGATTGTGTTCAGACTATTAAATGAATGTGGATGAAGCTGGTCCAGACCAACTCTGAACATGGTCTGAGTAAAAGTGTTTTGAAGTTGTTCAGACCAGGTTTTTAACTGATTTGCTCAGAATGGATTTTAATGCGAACTCTGAACAGGATCATTATTACATGTGTGTGTGAACGGTTTCTTTAACTGGAGGAAAAGATTTCCCTGACATAAAATGTAGCATTCTTTGTCCAAACTAAAATAATTAGAGCAGATCTTAGATCTGCTATCACTTTGTGGACTGTCAGTGACCCGTTTCTACAACTAAGTCTGGTTCTTCTTTAGTCAAGTTCTTGTCACATTTCAGTGTGAAAATGCTAAAATACATTTTCTAATTATACGTGACTGACTGATGTCAACTTTGTTGGCAGATCCAGAAGCTCTTGGCCCACCCGTCCCCTGACACCGGCCTCCTCGCCTTCTTCAGTGCACTGTAGAAAACTCATCTGTCACCGACACACTGATCTAATTACATGTTTAACAATAAAAAAAACAAAAAAGCTCAAATATTTCCTAGTATTTTGACTCCTGTGTTGCTGTGTCAGAATCAAAGCCAGCCTGTGTGTGTGGACCGCTCCTCCGACGTGCTGCTCTGCTTGGTGAGGAGGTGGGACCAGTTTCCAGAGGCGGGTGCAAAGAGTGATCTCACCCAGACGGGGTGGGAGGAGTGAGTGACGTCTTTCTGGTAAAAGTCAGAAAGGGAGGGGAAGGGCAGAGGGAGAAAAAGGAAGCTCTCCGATCAGTATTTTGTGTATATTTGAACTAAAGTTAAACAAACTTGGACAAACTGAAGCTTGTGCCTGGAGGAGCGGAGGGGGTCGGGATGCTGGACCGGGGGATCTGATGGACAGGAAGGACAGCACTTTGTCAGCAGTTGTGCAAAGCTGATGACAACATAAATTATTAACACTTTTACAGGCCTCAGGCCTCGAGTGACCACAGAAAGGTAAGCAGAAGGAAAATCGTTCTTCCTTGGAAACTTTCAGAGATGGAGGGGTGTGTGTGTGTGTGTGTGTCGTTATGCTCATCTCATGTCTTTGCTTGTGGGTGGAAAATTCCCGGAGTGTGTTGTGTGTGAACTTACAGTTGATTGTTTGACGCTGGGTGGAAGAACAGGAACAGAGCTGTGTTACAGCTCAGCCTGAAGGGACTCCTCAGTGTTTGTGTTGCCTCTCTGACCCAGGAGCACAAAAACTCCTGTTGATTCAGTCATTTTCCCTTCTGACCCCTCAGATCCTGCACAGAAAGGGGGGATAAAAGCAAAAACCATGTCTTCTGACCTGGACTCCAGTCTCACCAGCATCGACTGGCTGCCCAAACTGGGAATCAGCAGCCTGCGCTCGGGGAAAGAGAGGGGAGGGGGAGAGAAGAAGAGAGACAGAGGGAGGGAGAGGGGGGACTTCATACCCTCAGTGCCGAGCCCCTCGCCCTCATACTGTAAAGGGAAGCCCCCTCACAGCTACGCCACCCTCATCGCCATGGCCATAGCGGCTGCACCTGAGAGGAAGCTGAGCCTGAACGACATCTACACCTGGATCAGCGACACCTTCCCGTACTACAGCCGGGCGGGCCGAGGATGGAAGGCGAGCCCCACTGTCCGCATTTTTTCCCCACAGTGTTGATGTGTGTCGTCCACATCGCTGACCCGTTTCTCTCTCAACAGAACTCCATCCGACACAACCTGTCCCTGAACAAGTGCTTCAGGAAGGTTCCTCGCCCACAGAGCGACCCTGGCAAGGTGAGCCTTGTGATGTCACTAAACGTGTCGATGATGGGTTCGAACATAAAACTGTCTGTGTTTTCAGGGCTCCTATTGGACGATGGATGGACCATCAGATGTGACTGAAGTGAGGGCCCCTAAGCGACCCTATCCCAAAGATGATGAAGACGACGAAGAAGAAGAGGAGGATGAGGATGTAAGTTTTTAAACTTTGTAGCCATTTCGGTCAAACTTTAAAAACCACGTTACACTTGATCTCATGATCTCACAAACTGTCTTGTTCTAAACATTGTTAATGACTCTCAGCTACCACAACACATTTTAGCTCAGTTTCTGTAAAGCTGACAGAGTTGGCCACTTCAGTGTTTGCTAAGCTTGGTTAGTTGTGGCTCTAAAAGTTAATCCCTTGTAGCTCTACATCCAGGGACTATTTCCTTAAAATTTCATTCAAATCCATTCAGCGGTTCATGAAATATTTTGCTAACAGACAAAGTTGAATTCAAGTAGTCGATGGAAAACTTTTAAAACAAAAATGTTCAATGTGTAAGTAGTTAAAATATGTGTTGGGGATCTTCCTCAGCTACTATTTTGGTAAAGTTTAGTTTAATATCTGTAAAGTTAACTAATTAGGGCCAGTTTTTGGTCTGCTTAAGCTTGTTAGCTGTGGCAGCCATCTTGAATTTGATTGACTCCAAAAGTTGATCAGCTGTAGATAGACATTCAGGAAGTGCTTTTGGAGAGTTTCGTTAAAATCTGCCCAATGGTTCATGACATATTTTGCTAACAAACAGGCCAAACTGACTGTTATTGTAATGGTAGTGTTTTAAAAGCATATTTGATGACTTAAGTTGGTGCTTGGATTATAAGTCAGGGATAACGCTCAGCTTCTGCCTGATCAAATTTCACTGTTATACATCTGTAAAATTGATTTAAATTTGAACCTGCTTTGTTACATTCTTTTGCTTTCAGCTGCGGGCGATAATCTGGGACGACTTCAGATTTTGCACATTACTAATAATTTAATATTCACCCAAGAAAACTTAATCTATACACAAAAATCAGCTTGTCAATTCCAAATGATGATTTATGTACAGCTGTAATTTAAATTCAGGTTTTATGGCATCTGATCCATTTTACTAAGATCAAGTCAAAGTTAGATTTTTATTTTTGTTAGTTTTTTTTTTTACATGTATCAACGTACAGTAGAGCTGTAAGATGTAATCGCATGTTGCAGTTTCATGTGAGAGAAATTGTGCAGAAACTGGTTTGGAGGGTTAGTCAGTCCTTATTTTGTATTCAGGGCAGAGATGGGTGTTGAATAAGCAGAGTGACTGCTGAAACTTTTTGTTGTTGTTGTTTTGCTTTGTTTAGTTTTGTGTTTTAGCTGAACTGAACCTTTTATCTTCTGCCATCCAGCCACATTCCTACAGGGTTAAACACATTTGCTGTTCCAGGTTCCTCAGCCGGCTCAGACAGACGCAGCGAGAGGACCGTCTCCTCATCAGACTCTAAGTTCTCCTTTAGTGGGACCCCCTCAGCGGCACTCCCCCCACTCTCCCGTCCCGTACAAGGTAGACCCGCTTTCCTTCCATCTCATATTACAGCCGTGTTTGTTTGGAGTTACATGAATCCTTATCTTTCTCTTCTCAGCAACCGTCACCTTATGTGCCAGCCCACACTCCTCCTGCCTCCTGTTTATCTGTCCCCCAATCAGCCGGGCTTTCACCTGCGGCCCCGGGGTCACCCATCAGCTCCTTTGCTCCTCCCCACCCGCTTGGCTCCGCCTTTTCCCACCCCACCGTGTCTGTTGCTCCATCGCCTGCCGTCAACGTGTCCTCGGCCTCTCCAGCTGCGCCCTCGTTCTCTGAGGCGGAGCTGTCCTTCCCCGCCGCTGTAGGTCCGCTACCTGTCCCCAATCCGCTACCTGTCCCCAATCCGCTACCTGTCCCCAATCTCCTACCTGTCCCCAATCCGCTACCTGTCCCCAATCTCCTACCTGTCCCCAATCCGTTACCTGTCCCCAATCTCCTACCTGTCCCCAATCCGCTACCTGTCCCCAATCTCCTACCTGTCCCCAATCTCCTACCTGTCCCCAATCCCCTACCCGTCCCCACTTTTTCCTGCAACTCCACGCTGTCTGTTTACTCCTCCTCATCTTCATCTACATCTGCCGTTGCTGTTGCATCATCGAACGCCTCCACCGATCCCCCACTGCGTTTCTCCTTCGATGAGCTGAACATACCCGACTTGTACGCGTCTTTCAAGTCTCTGTTTAAGACCATGCGAGAGAGAGGGGGGTCGCTCTGTAAGTATGCCAGTCTGAAAACATGACATGCATGAACAACTGGAAGGTATTTATGTTTATATGCTTTTCTTTGCCCTGAAGCTGATGTGGTTCCTCTGGTTCTCCCGAGTAATGACACTACACCACTTCATACTCCCACTCTGCTGCCGATGTCCCCCTATCCAACACCTGCACCACCTGCAGCACCCGCACCACCTCCAACAGCTGCCCAGGCTGCACACCCGCCTGAAACCGAGCGTATTCCACAATGCAGTAAGTTTTCTTTCACCTCTTCAATGCAGGAATGATTAAAGTGTATGAAATCCAGATATTGCTTCCTCAAAAGAGTTTGTTTTCTAAAGTTGCTCGTCTCTTTTCTCCTGCAGCAGTGCCGCCCGACTGGTTCAGTAACACAGACTCTCTGAAGGAGAGCTTTCGAATCGCCAGCAACCTGGACTGGGCAAATATAGACCTCTCTAGTCATCCAGGTCTGTGCAAAAAATGTTTTATTAAAGAGGGCATATCATCCAGATTTTTAGCCGTTAAATTTATTTTGGTATGTACACGGAGTCTCTAGTGCAGAAAGTTTAATTTAGCTTCTCCCAATTTTGTGTACATATCTTTACATTCTAAATAAGGTCTGGACTTACCAACTACAATTTGGTGGTTTTCATTCTCCTCTGGTTCTGGGTCAGACTCTGGCTCTAACATGGAAGGCAGGATGGACAAGTCTTGTTGATATCTTTTAATTAATTTTTATATAAACTGTTTCTGTGCTGCTATATAGATGTAAACTCCTCTATCAAACTAGAATGGGCCGCTCAGGAAGCTGAAGGGGGGGCAGGGTGTGAAGTGCCTCGTTTGGATTTAAAGAGACAGCCTCAAAATGAGTTGATCTGAGACATACCTCAGAAAAGGGGTGAAAGTGGGGCTTGTGGAGTTAAAATGAGGAATTCAGACTAAAGCATTTTAGTTCCACTTTATATAGACCCCAACTGAACTCACTGTACTTATCGCCCACCACAGAAAGTGTCCGTCAACGTTTTTAATAAACCAATGGATAAAGTGTTAATAAAATTTTCTGAAGCTAATCATTAGATATGCCTTTTTAGACTTAGAGACAATCCAAGATGGCTGCCACAGCCAATCGATCTCGACTTGATCTTTAAAACTACATGTAAAAATCAGATAAATTTCAGAATTTTTTTTGCCACATTTCTCATATGAAGTCTACAAGCTCCTTAGATCCAACAGTTCTCTGGTAACATGTTGGTCTTTTATCACAAACCAAACGTTTCAAAAGCCAGACACAGAATGAGCCGATAAACGATAGAGCTCTTCGGAACTGTCATGATCCGCCTCCTGCCCATGACGTAAACAGAGATTACACAGATGATCAGATTAAGATGAGTTTTATTTAGCTGCCTTTAATTCTAACATCTCCAAAATCAGATTCAGGTCCTGTAGAGAAATCAATGCTACCTGTATTTTAGGGATAAAAGGAATGTCAAGGTTAGGTTTGACCAGCAAAAATCTAGATTTTACATTTATGGAGAAAAATAAAACAACCAACCACCTCCCAGCTCAGCCAACCCATGCACTGACTCGTTTAAAGTAATCTGGCACAAGTGGTTTCAGACACATGAGACTGCTTCCTGCAGAGACAAACTACCACAAACCACAGAGACTATAGGTCATCACAGTAAACTTTTGCATAAAAGAAGCAATGCATGGGAGTTTTTTCTGAATATATATATATACATGTACAACCCCAATTCCAATGAAGTTGTGTGATTTAATAAATCCTTTTCAACCTAAAGTCAACCGAAGACACTACAAAGACAAGATATTTAATGTTCAAATGAATAAACTTTGTTTTTTTGTAAATGTTCATTCATTTTGAAGTTACCCATGCCATTGGCACTAATACACCCCAACACCATCAGAGATGCTGGCTTTTGAACTTTGCACTGATAACAATCCAGACAGTTCTTTCCCTCTTTGGCCATGAGGACACGACATCCATGATTTCCAAAGACCATTTGAACTGTGGACCCATCGGACCACAGGACACTTTACTGCTTTGCATCAGTCCATCTCAGATGAGCTCGGGCCCAGAGAAGCCAGCAGTGTTTCTGGGTGTTGTTGATATATGGCTTTGACTTTGCATGGTAGAGCTTTAACTGCTGGTAGATGTAGCAATGACAATGTTTCTCTGAAGTGTTCCTGAGCCCTTGTGTGATTATCCGTTACAGAATGATGGTGGTTTTTAATGCAGTGCTACCTGAGGGATTGAAGGTCACGGGCATTCCATGTTAGTTTTCAGCCTTGCCACGTACTTGCAGAGTTTTGTCCACATTCTCTGAATCTTTTGATATCATCGACTGTAGATGAAATCCCTAAGTCTCTTGCAATTGTATGTTGAGAAACGATGTTTAACTGTTGGACTACACAGTTCACAAAGCGGAGAACCTCTCCCCATCCTTGCTTGTGAATGATTATGCCTTTCAGGGATGCTCCCTTTATACCCAATCATAACATTCACATGTTTCCAACTAACCTGTTCACCTGTGTGTGGAATGCTCCAAACAGGTGTTTTTTGAGCATTCTTCAACTTTCCTAGTCTTTTGTTGCCCATCTCAGCTTTTTTGGAACGTGTTACAGGCATCAAATTCAAAATGAGCCAATATTTGATTAAAAACAACAACAACAATAAAGTTGATCCCTTTGAATATTAAATAACTAGTCTTTGTAGTCTATTAATTTGAATATTGGTTTGAATATTTGGATTTCCTAGTCATCATATTGTTTTACACAACATCCCAAATTCATTGAAATTGGGGTTGTATGTATTTTCCATGAAAATGTTGCTGATCTGGTTTTCTCGTCTCCAGACCTGCTGGAGAGCATGAAGAAGGCGGAGCTCTGCGACTGGGCCCTGGACCCGGCACTCTTCACGTCCCTCTGTGACTCTCTGAACCGCTTCTTTTTCGACAAAGGCATGATCAGCTCCGCCAGCAGCTCCCCCGTCACACCCGGTGCGCCTCACCCGCTGCAAGCACCGCCGCTGGCGTCCCACCCACCCCCTACCCTCACCAACCTCACCCACCCTTCACCCCTCCCTTACCCCCCTGCCGGTCTCCCCACCAACGGATCCCAGCCGCCTCACAGGCCTCTGTCTATGCAAGGACCTGTTTTTCTGAGACCACATTTGGTACACCCTGCTAACACAGCTCGTAAGTATATATATATATATTTTTTAATTCAATATTCATGTAGTTTCCACTTTTGTCTAATGAAATGAGGTGCTGTGTTCCTGCTCCAAAGAAAACACGGGAGGAAATCACCATGGTAACCATGGATTATTTGATGCTTGCACCCATGAATGCTGTATAATTTGTCATGATTAGAACCGCTGGAACAGAAATACCCTGGCATGGCCTTTGATGGCATTAGGCGAGATTTGAAGGCCACCATCTTGCTGTGAGTGGTTTATATGTTAAAGCCACACAGTCAACTCCATGTGAGGCTGTTCTTTGTGTCATCAGTTCAAATACACATAAAATAGGTTTATTTTATGCTGCAATCAACTTCCTATCAAGTCTAGCAGGGGCAAAATGCCGACACAATGTGCTGCTGATGTGTGATCAACTTACAAAGTAAAATAAAAACACTTTCATTTAGTTTAACAAAAGCTCTGTTACCAGTGTGTTTTATATGGTTTTTTTTTTAGGCTTTTAGGGCTCAGTACCCTGATTTTCAGTAGCAATAGCAGTCTAGTCTAGAACGAGCAATAATTAATAAATGTAATGCTACATTCTAAGGGCAGGTTCCTCTAATTATAATAGCAATGTTTATTGAATGAGTTTAGTTTACATCCATGGTCTGCTGCCTGCCACGCTCGCAGTAACTACCAAGCACCTACCATGAATTCTCATATTCTTAGCACAGGCTGTGGTGTGGTTGGCCTTTCCTGTACATTTCTAATTCAGTGATTAGGGCATTTAAATTTTAAAATAAAACTATTACTCTAAATACTCTATGAAAAGTCGGGCTCTGTCATAGCTTAGATTATTAGAAAAGCTCCAAATCATTATTATTGGGCTTTATGGAGGAGCGTTGGAATTTTGGGCAATTGATGCATTGATACAACTGAATTTTCTCCAGAAATCCACTGTCTGTATGAAATTTGAACACAGATTTCATTTTACTGTTTCAAAACTAGACCCACCCCACACACAATTTGTCACTGTCAGGAGCGAAAATGAGACAGAATCCATTTGATTTTACATCAAATCAAAATATAAATACTGATTTATATAGTATGAAAATGCTGCTTCATTTGGGGAGAAAAAAGCAGAAGTAGTAACACTGAAGTTTTTTGAGCTATTGAAAGCAAAAATCTTTTAATGTTCTCTCACTTCCCTCCAGTTCTAAAGTTTTGCTTTCTGTTTCACATCAGCTGGGATCCAGCCTCAGGCTGTGGTGCCACGACCACGTCCCCCACTAAAGCATCTGAAAAGCAACAGTGAAGAATTCCAGGATGACTTCGACTGGGATTCTCTCGTTTGACTCTGACTGTCTGGAGAATTATAATAAAAGAAATCTTGCTTTTTCCAGAAGCAAGTCTGGAATCAAGCTGGTCATATGGCTGAATGTGTGTGCTGTAATGATTATTCTGTTGTAGGTAATAGTTGAAATTTAAAAATGTAAAACTTCAAAAAAAGTGTCCATTTTCTCCAGAGGATAAAGTACGAAGGAAGTAGCACACAAATCTCGTGTTTTTGTTTTATTTCATAAATTTCTTTAGATTTTTTTCTTAATATTTTTGTTTTTATTTTTCAAATGTGAATGTTCACAGTTGACACCACACAAAAATTCAACCTTACCCAATAAAAGATTTTTTTTGTTATAAAATAATAAATTCATTAAACTAAAAGTATGGAGCATGTTTTCAAGTCCATGTTTTTTTTCTTTCATTCATTGAAATAATTGTCTCTTTGAAGAAGCATCAGTAGACCTCCCCCCTCCTTTTTAGAAGGGGGGGGGGTGAAATATGAGGACAATGTTGCTCTGGGAACCTGAAATGTGTGAAAAAATAAAAATCGGTTCAGATCATTGATTTAGCGAAATCATGTAACCCATAATACTCTTACATCTCATCACAGCTGTTTTCAAAAAAAGAATGGAAACCATTTCTTCCATTCGAAGTTGCTGAAGATAGGACACAAAAACCCAGATGAGGACAGGTACACGGACACAAACGGGCTTTTGTGTTCTCATTCTCACACACAGCTGCAAACACACATTCATCAGTTCATTTTCCGCCATCCGACGACAAACGTCAGACCACAAGTTCCAACAATATACTCAGGGAAAAATATGCTTGATTTAAAATGGCATCATTGCATGAATCGTTCCTGTTGTATCTGTTCCCAAGTACTGGAGGAAAGAATAAATTACACTTAACATTAAATTAAATTAAAAGTGAAATATCCGAGACGTTTTGATCACGTTGTACCTGAAAACATTAATGCAGGTTTTTCAGGCCGTATGTCAGTCGTTGAAATTAAAAAACAGAAACAAAAAGAATCATCCTTCATGCGTTCGCTTCATTTCAGTGATTCAGTGAATGTCTTCATTTTTCGAGAGAGAGAAGAGGAAGAAGAGGCAGGTACAGTTCCTCTGATCAGTTTGTTAGTGGCTATGTGACCTCTTCCACCAGCTCTTCTCGTGTGCAGTAGTTTTAGAAGCAAGAGTGACACGACTGAAAAATCCATCCGCTCACATTGACTTACCTTCAACACGACAGGACTGAACAGAAAAAGAGACAACACGACACAGAACAGAAGACTGAAACAAAATAAATACTCTATTCGACTCCAAACAAATATTTAACTGAAATGAAAGGAACGAAAAGTTGATAAATTTTTTAAAAGAAATAATGCTTTTAAAAAGGAAAATAAATTTTTCTTTAAATATTGCGATGTGGACATTTGTTTTTTCGTGTGGACACAATTTGCGATGGTGGGACAAATGAATGACGAGGGTGGAGCGGGTACGACAGAGGAGGCAGAAAGGTGAGCAGAAAAAAAGTGACGGCGCTTCCTCAAAGAAGAAACGGGTTGGTGCTCGTGCCCGCTGTTCCTCCGCCTCCCATTGATGCTCCCGCCCCCATCATTCCTCCTGCTCCCGTGGGCCCGCCCAAAATCTGCTGAGGGGGCGCCATGCCTCCCGGTCCCAAAAGAGCAGAGCCTGGGGGTCCCATTGGAGAGAGGCTGCTGAAGGGCATTCCCATGGGGCTGGCCTGCATCATGCCCAGGCCCATTCCGGGGGCCCCCATCCCCACACTCATCGGCCCCATGCCCATTCCTGGTTGAACCATGCCCAGCATGGGGTTAGGAGGCACAGGACTGGTGCGCAGGCCACTCAGGCCTAAAGAGGAGGGCTGAGGTGAGATGGAGCTCATGGCAGGAGCAACGCCAAAAGGGTTGGAGGAGGCAGGTGTTGGAGAAACGCCCCTGCTGGAAATCGTACTGCCTGGAGTCACTGCCATGCCAGGAGCAGGAGACGAGCCTGTGGTTCAGGGACAAAAAGGGTTGCAATTTAAATTGTAATCGCAGTATTCTTTAATAAGATTTTTTATTACAAGAGAAATCAATCATGCTTTCATGAAAATAAAATTCCCTGAATAAATCCTAAAACTCCAGGAGATATGTCAGTCGCTCAAAATACTCTGAACTTAGCATCTTAGGATGTGGAGAAAGAATTTACTGTAGCTCTGAGTGATTTGGGGGGGGGATTTGTGCAATATCAACTTTTTTTCTTCTTTATATTAAGTTATAATGTCATTCCCTCATCCAAAAACATACACAGTGTGTATTGGAACTGCCTAAGCACTTGCTGGTACAAAGCACCAATCAATAAAAATACTATACACATTGAAGAAGCAGAATGGACTCGATACTAGCACCCTAGTATTAATACATGTATATGTCAAACTGTCGGAAAGATCATCTTTTAATCAGAAGATATAAGTTCAAACTCCTGGAGTTTTCTCTGTCCAAAAAACTGACAGGTTTTCCCTGGTTTCCACAGTTGCTGGGAACTCTGTCAACACAAACAGAACACACCAAATTTTCTGTTTTTCTGCATATAAAAAGTATTTACCCCTCAGATTTTGCTGTCATACATGGTCAATAAATTATTGCATGGTCAATAAATTGGTCGTTTTGACAAAACAAAACAAAATGAAAAAAAAAAGAAAGTGAAATCAAATTTCTACAAAGTAAAACTAGGCTGACCTCACAAACTGAGTGACAGCGCAAGGAGGAGAATAGTGAGAGAGACTTCCAAGAAATCTGTGACCACTCTGATGCTGCGTTCAACCCGAACACAATTTGAGCATCAAAAACGCGTCTAACACCTCAAGTTGGACGCTTGTGCACTTTTGAGGTCATACGCTCGTCAAAATTGTTTCCCTCCTCTGTTGGTCTCTAATGGCGAATGAAATAAAGAAAGTGGCTTTGCTTTATTTACTGAGAGCAAGAGCACGACGCGCTCCCCAGATAATTAATTCATAATTAATTTACCAGATAATTCAGACACATTCTGAGTTTGGTGAGTTTCACACCAAAGGAGCTGCAAACTGACCAGGCTCACTTTCAGAACTATTTTTGTCCCGAGCTCAGTTTGACAATCCACTGACCCACATCGGTGCCGATATCTCCTGCCAGGTCACTTATTATGACTACAACAACGGTTACTGAGTTCTTCACCAGTTTGAGATTTATAGGAGAGTAGCAAAGAGAAAGCCACTGTTGAAGAAACTTCTGATTAAATCTGCACAAGCATTTGTCTAAACTGTAGTCTTTATTGACACTTTATATTTTGTACGACTAACCCCAGTCTTAAATGAAGGGAAGCTAAAGTTCTGCGGTGCTGCTGATTCTAACCTGTGTTCTGAAGAAAGGGGTTGTTTGTTGAAGAGGAAGAGATGGAAGGAGGTGGCTGCTGCTTGGGTTTGGGTTTAGATGACAGCAGGGAGTCGAGATCGACAAGCGCCGCGTTGGGGCCGAGGAAGGACTCGGGTGTTTTACGAACGGGAAGCGAAGAACCGAGAGACGACAGGTCAAAGGGCACCGGTGAGCTCGTGCTGTCACCCGCTGCTGCTGAAGACCCTCGCCTCTCCAGATCTCCTGAAAGGGAAAATACAAAATAAGACTTGGTGTAATGAAAGAAACAGGAATGTAGAGCTGTTTACGGGCACATATCACTGAAGGATGAAATGTAAGACAGGACTGTTGAGAAATGCAACTGAAAATCTGAGTAAATCATAAAAATAAAATCTCCTAAAACACGTCGGTACCTCAGTGTTTGTTAATCCATGAAGCTTGGAGTGTGAATGTACCTGTGCCGTTAGTTTGTTTGGCGGTGCCACTCCAGATGTCGGAGGAGACAGGGTCAGAGGCATGGACGGACCCCTCCCCTGCCCAGGGGTCTACAGGTCCCCCCGAGGAGGATGTGCTGGGTGGCACTGGGGAGCCCCAGGGGTCAGCACTGGGGGGGGTCACAGCTACAGGGGGAAGGGGAAGGAGATGCAGGGGAGGGGAGGGTTAACACAACACCTTACAGGTACAACCCACAATAAGGAGGAAGCAGGAAGCTGGACTGGGTTCAAACAGTAGCATGTCTCTCTCCTTAACCTCTCAGGTGTTAGTAAGTTTACGAGTGAGGACAGGAGAGGGACGTCCACCACATCACTTTGACCCATTGAACATCTAAAGCTCAGTGGAGGTAAAGGAGAGATGAGAAGTAACATCAAGCATTAAAATAAAGGCATGAAAGGGCAACAGAAGAAAGAGCTCTGGTTGAGACACAGCCAGTCCTGAGTAGAAACAAGAGGATACAAATCTCTGGTTTAGACACATTAGGAGAATGATTGAATGGACTCAACATGCTTTGCTTTCCTTTGTTACAAAATGAAAGCATCTCGGAGGATGAGAAGATCAAATCTGACAGCATGATGAAATGACTGAATATGAATGAAGGCTGTTTCAGACAGGATAAGGAACTGTGGAGTGCAGAGGAGTAAAGGTCGAGGCATTTACATCCCCTTTCAGAAAAACACATTTAATGCTCAGTTTCACCCACCTGATGGGTTAGACATTAGGAGCTGCAGCAGCTTACCCGAGTTCCCCCAGGGGTCCACGTTGTTAACTTTGTTGGCAGTCTCTCCCCAGGGGTCGGGAGGAGGAGCTGTAGTGGGTGGGGCGCCCCCACCCCAGGGGTCGGAGCTTGTCGGGGACGTGGGTGATGCTACCCCCCATGGATCTGTGGGCGCCGTACCCCACGGCCCGGACGATGAAGGGCCGGAAACTGTGAGTGGAGGTGAGGGGCCGGCAGAGCTCACAGTGGCAGCAGGAGGTGCCCCCCAGGGGTCCACGGCACTCAGCTCCATCAGAGCACCCTGTACAAAAAACACATAAGTTAACATTCATCAAGCTACAGGGTGGTTCTGTTGAAAAGGTAAGAAATTCATACTCAGGCTTAAGAGAATTTGCATTTCTGCAAAAATGCAGCCTGAATGTTTAGTGCTGAAAGATTGTTGCAAGAAAGAAAAAACAAAACTTCGCAATTTGTTGCAAAATAGCCAGAAAAGTTGAAATTTGGAGAAAAGCAGCTAAAAAGTAGTGGAAAAGCTGAATCTAGCACAAAGAAGCAAAAAGAGCACGTTCACTGAATTAAGCAGCAAGGAGCTGAAATTATCACAAAAAGGCGAATTTAGCTGAAATGGCTAAAAATTAGATGGAAAAGGTAAAAAAAGTGGCTTAAATTGCATAAAACAGCCAAAAACATAAAAAGCTTAAATTGGCAGAAAGAAGCTGATAGAATGTTTAAATCAACAGGAGAGCTGAAAAGAGTAGAAAGATAGTTGAAAAAGCAGAAAAAAAACTAAAATTAGCAAAAAAAGAAGTTAAAGAAGCAGAACCAAAACAAAAACTGAAAAGTGCAGTACAAGTTTAGAAACATTTTAAAAGGGTTTTAAGGTTGTTGAAGGGAGCGCCACTCATTTTCAATGAGAAAAATAAATGGCCGATAAGGTATTAAATATCTTAAAAAGTATGTCTGAAATACCAAGTTAGAGCCGGAACGTCCTGAAGAAGCTACGGTAAACATTTTGATGTATAAATTTTCTATTCTTGCACAATTCTTATATTTTTATTATTAGTAGTTGTATCATGGCTAGTCAGTGTTAATTTTGTTTTATGTGTACCGTCTATAGTTTGTAAAGCAACTAGTGTGTGAACCTTTGTAGTGATGCTGTTGTGACACCTGAATTTCCACGCTGCGGGACAATAAAGGCTATTTCTATTCTATTCTATAACCTTTTGAAATAGTAGCACAAAATTGTAGAACAAGAAGAAAGTCGGTTAATCTCAAACAAGTCACACACCTCCTCTGCTTTGGGTTTCTCCCTCTTGCTCTCTTCAATGGCCATCTGCAGTCTCAGATCATCACCTCTGCGCAGCCGCTCCTCCTGCCGATTACACACACACAC